CCATCCGGTCCGTTAAATCCAGTTCGTTAATTTTTATCAGCTGTCCGTTAAATTTCGTTAAAGAAAAAGAGAGAAAAATTCAGAAAAAAACGAAAAAAATCCAAAAAAATCGAAAAAAAACCCCAAAAATCACAACAACTGCGGCTAGTTGAAAATCTAGTATGCATAGGTTGAAATAAAATACAAACATACTCTCTAATAGCGAATTCCATAAACTATAAGTATGACTAAAACCCAAAAATCCCCAAAAATTCCAAAAATCCGCTAATTTTTGGTTAATTTTTGTCTTTTTTCGTTATTTTCCGTTAATTAACGGAAAATTAACGGAAATTAACCTCTGTCCGCTATTAACAGATCCGGTGGCCACCTCTAGTGAGCAGGCCTGGTTTGATTGACGGCCGAGTATTTTAAATACCGCCGGGTTAATCTATACGATTGCTGGCATACTCGGTCCATCCTTGCAACGACTCATGTGTTGGACATCACAATGTGATGATCGCATACCTCTCGTCAGCCTGAATAAATGAATATTCCACCCAACGGAAAGCTGGTCATTATGAGGCGTTTCGAACATTGGGTTATGTCACAAGGTTGAATGGTTCAACGTGGGGAATGATAAGGCCAAGTGTGAGCATATGGGTGTCTCTGGTGGAGCACAAAATCCAACCAATTCGATTGATGATGGTCGCCGTTGACAGGTCTCTCACAGGGTTCAGCCTCAACCTGTCCTAACCCAGACTCAGTAGGCCACAGTGTGCCTGGAGTTCTGCCAGAAACTGCCCCCAGCCACGTGCGAACCAGGGTGCCTTTAGGCTAAGCAACCTTCACATTCCCGTACCACAGAGCCATTCCCCACACAGGACAACGGGGTCCCTCAGCCGCCGACCCTTGGCATCGTCGCGCCTCTGCCCGGCCACCCTTGGGCGCGCAACCATGCCGCTCGGAAAGCGCACGGATCTCGGGACAGCAAGGTTTGCTGGACTGGAGGTGCCCTTCGCGTGCGACATCGTGGAGGCTCTCAACGTGAGCGCCGCGCTCGGAGTTGTTGTGGGCGGTGCGGGGACCGGCGTGCCACTCCAATCACCGCCACAAGAAGCCCTGCCCATCGATTCCGACAGGCAGGGTCAAAGGGGTCTCGCAGCGGTGCAGGAGGTCGCTCTGATCACAAGGAACCCTCTAAGTGTCTAGGGATGCCATCTGTAGAGCCGGTTCCAACTCCCCTTGTGTCTTGGTTTCGCTACCGCCGACGGCACAGCCAGGGTTGGAGTCGCGCTGAACGACAGGACTGGTTCCGCAGGACGCCTCACAGGGTGGCTTCGACTTTGTCGTTGTGCCGCTGGTGCACCCGAGATACCGGCGTCCCAAGAGAGTGGATCACAGCGGGGCGAGGGCTGCTTTCACGCGATCAGATCTTCTTCTTACGTCGGGCCAGTGGGCGGGACAGGTTCGTCCTGATGCACTGGGCCTGGTCATCTCTGCAGTTTATGTTCCAGTTTGTCCCTGCCACGTGAGCGGCTCCAAAAAGCATTCCCGTGCAAACTGACGATTGCTCAACTGTTGCTGTCTGTTCCTGAATGAAAAGTCACACTGGCAGCGCAAACCCTCAGGTTGTGGGAGCTACCAGCCCCTGGATCAACGCCGACTCCCAAAATGCCATCTTGCGAGAGGACAGCTCTGCGGCCCTCCGTCAAGAGCTTGATTGGGCATATCATTTGGGCCTACAAGCTGTCATGGTGCAGCCGAGCTTCCATCAGCAGTCGGTGGCAAACACTGCCCGAGTGATTGAACAGGTGGGCTGCAACTCAATCCAATTTTTGCAGTGCAATTGCTGGCCTTGGCTGTGTTGGAGCAATGCGGTGCACTCAAAATGTCTGACTTGAGTAGAGAGTGGTTTTGTCAGTCTTCAAACACTGGAAATGTGGAGATTTTTTGCCAAGTTAAGCAAGAACACACACAAACACACAACCCACCAAAGTGCTATGGGCGCACAAAAACACTTTCCTTTGCTAGTGATGTACTGACAGTCCCACAAATCTGACTCGCACTGTTGACACTGGCGTCCTGCAAATCCTTTATGTGCTGACAGGCGCTGGAGTCAGCATTGGCAAGCATGACTATGTGGGTAAGGGTGCCTCTGGCCATTGGGGATTCTCAGAATCCTTCAGCGCACATGAATGGTATGGCCGAAGCTGGCAATGGGGAAGGTGAGCGTCAACACAGGCTGCTGAGTTGTTGCAAGGTGTCACCAGCCCTTCCAAATGCAAAAATCTTGGGCACAATTTCGAACAGTGAATTTATGAATAGATCCTTCCTTGCCTGAATGCAGGTCACCACATCTAGCTAGGTCCAGAATTTTACACAGAGTGGGCATGCTGTCAATGCATCGGCTGTTGCGACGTTGTGCATGATGCCATGTCTATGTTTCACACAGGTGCAAGTTCAAGAGATCCATGGGACTTGTGGAATTCATTGCGGCGGCTTTGCAACCATCACAGCATGCTCAGTGTGGCACTGGAGTTGACTGAGTCCCTCCCAGATCGGCAAGCCATTCAACGGTATTTGGGAGAGCCTGTGAAGGCCCTCATTATACCCACACGGATATTCATGACCAACAAACTGGGCTACCCTATCTTGTCCAAGCGACATCAGGAGGTTGTGAAGATGTTTCTGGATCAGAATGTGCAGGTAAGGCATCTTTTGCTGGGGGCGGGGGGGTGGGGGGGAGGGAAGGGAGACAGCTGGATCTGTGAACATAATCTACGTGCTTGACTTTTCGTTTTATGTATTTGTTGCTTGAAAAGTGCTGCTTTAATGCTTTTGAATGTGGTGCCTGTGCAGCTGGTACTATCAGGTCCCAAGCTCCACACCACGCCACAATCTGAAACATTGGGTGATGGTGCTGCTGGAATCGCAGTGCAATGCCCTCCAAGTGCATCAGATGCAAGAGAAAGCTATCATCACCCCCTAAAAATCTACTGGGATTATTTGTCATATCTGTTCCGGCGAATGGAGACATTGACTGAGCAGGAACTGCTGGAGCTTGGGTATAGAGACCACTTGCAGGTGGGGTACAGAGGCATCCACAGATTCCGTACCAGAAAGTGTCATTTCTTGTTGACACATGCATCTTGACTTGTGCATATGAGACACATGTCACATGCATCCATCCACACATATGCCAACAAGGGCTTTCCCAAGAACAGCATATCTCTTTGTTAGTTTGTTGTTGTGCAGAGCTCATTCTTTCATGCACCATTTGAAGCATCATAGCTGTGCCTTCATGAAGAGGCCTGTTTCTGCTTCTGCAAAGTGCAACAGTATTGCCGATTGGCTGTGTGGATACCAAAAAAGTTGGCTTGTTGTGCGCTGTCTGGTAGATTGCTCTTCTGAGAGTGTGGCATGCTCTAGACTGTGGGGAGTGCATCTTGCAACAGCAGCAACTTTTTCCTTTGGCCTTGCCTTTTCCCTGTTAACCTGAAAACAGCTCCTTGCAGACATGAATTGCAAGCATATGCTCATGGAAAACTTCCAGCGCTGGTGCCTGTTCTGGACCATGGTGCACGGAGGGAATGTGAGGGGCTTCAGCACAGACACCTACACTTCTGTGTGAAGGTCAATACTTGTTACACAGTGCTGAAGCACGCAATATGGACGTCTGCTTGTTTAACTGACCTGAAGATCACGTCCACATATGGCATTTTGCAGCTGTCAATATTGTAAGGCAGCATACTATCAATCAGTGAATGTTTGAATTGCCACAGTGCCCTTCCGGGTGCATCCTCTGCTCTGTACCATTGGCAGCAGTGCACCATGCATGCTGAGCTGCTGTTTCTTATTGACAGTGATGCACACAGTAGTAAAATGATTAAAATGATTGCTGTGTTTCAGGTCCTGGTACTCTTAGAATATTAGCAAAGATGGCAAGGAAATGGCAAATTTGCAATTAAGTGGAGTGTAGGAGCAGTGGAAGAGCACGTGGTAGCATGTTTGTTGGCTGTCCTTCATGTGCAATATCTTGCCACTTCAGTTTGTGTTTTCCTCGCCTTAGTGCCCCGTGTTCACTGCTGCGTTTGCTTGACTTCAGCTCCCATGCTTGTAGCCATTTCTGCACTTTTGATGCTGGGAACCTGTGGATTTGCAGGTTCCATTGGAGCCTTTGCGCCACAACCTGGAATCGCAAACTTACGAAGTTTTTGAAAGGGACGCTGTCAAATACGACACATATGAGGAGGCAGTGTACCAGGCTCTCAAAGAATGGCCAACTAAACTTGGGGAGGAGGCCAAAGCAATTGTACTCATGGTTGTGGGTGCTGGTGAGTGTGCTTGGGTTTGAGCACGTCATCCTATGGTGCCAGATTGTGCCCTGCCCTAGTCAAGAAACAGTAAACTATGCTTTTGTATTGTGTGCAGGTCGTGGGCCTTTGGTAGCAGCATCGCTGAAAGCATCTTCCAGAGCAGCCAGAAGACTCAAAGTTTATGCTATAGAAAAGAACCCGAATGCGGTTGTGACATTGCTTAACAGGAGAGAGGATGATGGGTGAGCGGCTGGCCAGGCAGAGGCATGCAGCCATGCAGCATGCAGATCTTTAGTGTACTCTTGGCTAAAATCCTGAGATAACCCTGGGTTTGTTCCCAGCAGCTGCATCTGCAGAAATATAAACAAGCATGTCAATTTTTGATGTGTTGCAGCCAAACCTCGTAAATGCAACAGTCTGTTTCTCCCTGGCAGCTGCTGCATCAAGAGAATATGAAGACCAAAACATGGCCTCACAGATTGCGGGCAGAGTAGAAGAATTTTGCAGAAGTGCTGCAGAGGTTCTGCATGCTGATGCCAGTGTTCATTGCACACTTGAAATGGCAGAATGTATGTGTCCTGATCAGGCGATTTGTTCCTTTCAATGCCCGGATGCAGGTGGGGAAATAGGGTTGAGGTTGTTGCTGCTGATATGAGAAGTTGGGAGGCCCCAGAGCAGGCAGACATATTGGTGAGCGAGCTGCTTGGCTCATTTGGGGATAATGAGCTGTCACCTGAGTGCCTTGATGGAGCACAACGATTCCTGCAGGTTTGTTGGGGCTGGTGATGGAGACAGGATGTTGGACTTGCAGTGCACAGTGGAATACGGATCTCCCAGGCCACAGAAAATTAACCAAGAACAGTGGACCATGGATATGACGCTTGAATCCCAGAACTGCATTGGTTGAATTATTCGATGTCTTATATTGGCAAGCATTCCAAAGTGCTCTGATGGATTCAGATTGTATGGATGGGGAATGTATCAAAAAGAATGTAGCTCTATATACACCTAATTATGGTGTTTGATCTGTAGTCGATCCTTTTGCAGCATCCATTAGTTCGATGATTTGGTGTTGGCCTGTTGTGTTTTGCATTGTTCGTCTGAAGATCTTTAGAACCTAGTGACTGAAGGCACCTTTGGATTGGGACGGTTCTGATACTGGCTCCTGATTCCTACTGTCAGACATCACAAGAAGTTGCTGTTAATGTGGAGAGACCATTATCTGTTGGCTGTGGCAGCCCAAGTGGTAACTTGCTGGAATCACTTCCCATCGTGCATATGCTGTTTTGTTGTAGCCTCATGGCATCAGCATTCCGTCTTCCTACACAAGCTACATGGCTCCCGTTGCTGCCTTCAGGGCATACAACAGCACCCGGGCCTACAGCGATGTCAAACACCTTGAGACAGCCTATGTGGTGAAGATGCACAACCAGTCTATCCTGGCACCTCCACAACCAGTGTTTACATTCGAACACCCCAATCGGTATGGAGAAGAGATCGCTATATGACTGCAGTGCATGTAAGCTGGTTGCAAGCCTAGCATGCAGCATGCACAGAACAGGAGTGACTTGTTCGTGCAGTATTCGGTTTGGGGCCCTTCAAATTGGCTGCCATCACTATGGATGTGGCCTGTGCCACCACGCATGTTGTTGATTTCGTTGTAGGCGTTATAACACTTGTTCTTTCTTGAGTCTGGACCCTAGGTGTTGCTAGAGTGCAATGGATTTGTGTGCCTTCATTGTGGTCATGGTGTGGGGAACTGGTGTGCAGCAACAAGCAAGCTGCAGTCAGTTGGGTGAGCAAATATTTGTCGATTGCTGCCCTGTCCTGGAATGTATATTCTTCACCAGGTGAGGTGCCACTTGAGCACTCTGCAAATGTGCAGTTTCGTATGGGAAGGTATGGGGCTTCTGCTGTTGAATTCTTCTGGCTGCACAGATGGTTGCAACAGCTTTGTTCAGTATGCGGTGACTGGCACTGGACAGTCCACATGTGTATGGGGTGGATGTTCGAGGTTTGTATGTCAAATGCAATCAATGCCTCCTACAGGTCCAGCAACATTGACAACTCAAGGTACATCAGCATCACATTCGAAAGGCCTGAAGGGTCGCCGGGGGCTTTGATGCATGGTTTCGCTGGCTACTTTGAGACGGTGTTGTACAAGGATGTTGTCCTCTCCACGCACCCTGAAAGGCACACTCCTAACATGGCCAGCTGGTTCCCAATTCTCTTTCCCATGAGAGAGCCTATCGATGTTCCTGCTGGCAAGGCAAGCATAGAAGTGCACATTTGGAGGTGCATGGCGGAGCACAAGGTGGGCAGAGAGCCTGCAAAAGTATATGTTGAAAGCCAGCCACCGCAGATTGCTGCAGAAGTAGCAAAGACACCTCTGCAAAACGGGGTGATTGTTGTCTTGTACTCTTCATTGCCAATAAATAGTAGGGGACCCGCATGTGCCATGTACAATTTAAATGGACATGCTGGCTTCTAGCACCAAAATTCCTCACCACGACGACGTGACTCAAGTCTTGCTTGCTGGAGGTTAGGACTAGCCTAACATTGGTAGTCAATGCCTATGCTCACTTCAAATGAGTCACTGTCTGTGGAGAGTGTCCTCACATTCAGGCTGGTGCCCCTTGCATTGTGCTTGCTGCCCGGAACACGGTAGACACATACGTGTCTTGTGTTCGCATGGGTAACGGTGCTGAAGCCTCTTTCGATTATGTGCTTGTAGGTCTGGTATGAGTGGGCTCTCACAAAGCCCACCGTCACACCAATTCATAACCCGAATGGACGGTCTCATTGGGTCGGCTTGTGATGTGCTTGTGAGGTGTGTGGCATCCTACGGCATGTCATATCGCGTGCATGTTTCAGAAAGGCTCGCAAGCTGCTGCAGCACACACGCGACAAAGTGTTCAGTTGTTGTTCAGCGACCGTCAGAGCAGGCTTGCATGGATTCGGACTTCCGAAGAATCAGTAAATATGCCGAAGGTGGTGGACAGAAGGACTGTTGTAGGAATGCCTATGGGATTCGTATGCCACTGTTGGCCTGATTTACTGCCTGTTGTCATTATGACATGTATTTTATTCGCATGCTGTATTTATCTTTTCTTGCTCTTGTTGTCATCAAATGCTCTTTTATTCGCAGTGGGACATGCGTCTGTCGATCCACGAGATAACTTTGACTGCATGGTGCTTTGAAACGCAAGCTGCCGTGGGGATTGTGGATCATGCCATTGACATGGATCCCAGCTGTCGCTTTCTCATGGCAATAGTATTGGGTGCACAGGATGGAAAATACCGTGATGCCCTGTTCTGCAGGGTCTTGATCCCATGGAATTCAAACAATCAGCTGCTCATGAGTCGACGTTAGTAGGCAATTGCGGCTGCAGGGAAGTTAAGAGCTCAGGTAGTGTCCCATTTGAGTCACGGCCCACCTTCCACTGCAGCATTGCTGCTGTCAAAACCATCACACCTTTTTGATGGGATTTATGCTGCGTCACCTGTGCTGGGTAACACAAGCCCGTCATTGTTGCTGTTTGATGAGCTAGACCCAGGTAGGAGTGCGCCAGTTTTGCTTACTTTACTGGTATTGGTGCGCTCGTTTCCGCAGCAATGAACGCCAGTAATTAACCACGATTCCGTTTAAATACAAATGTTTGGTCCAAGAGAGGCCAATGGTCTTCCTATCGGCCCACCCGCATCACTTCCACATGTAAGTGGTGAACGTGCCCCGGGGGGAGTGAGATAGACATAGACAGGCATAGGAGGTGATGAGGCTGGGAGGATTGGCGCCCTACTGTTCACTGTAGGGTGAACATTGCAGCCACTGCCACGATGGGCAGATTCACGGATGCTTGAATGTCAACCATGGTTACATGACGACTTATGTTGTGTTCGAGTCTACTTTAGTGCACAGAACTGCACTCCCTATTTCACACTCAGACTGCCCCATTAAACCCTCATGCGTCTCATACCCGGTGCCCATTGTTAAACAGCGCCAGCGACTTGTTCTAAACTACATTCACAACATCAAAAAGGGGACGGCTGTCTGTTAGCAGGGCTTCTGGTCCTCACACTCGCCGTCAGGGAACCCCTGCAATGCCGCCAGCTGCTCATCTGTGAGGCTGACTAACAGCACGTCGCCGTTCTGCTCTACGGCCGTTCCCACGACTCCGCTCTCCAGAGTCTCTGCCCTCAGTTTAAAATGTGATACCTCTGTGGTCAATTCATTAACTTGCTCCTCGAAACTAGACACCTGCTCAATCAACTGGTCCGTCTTTTTCAGTAGCTCGTCCCTCAAGCCCGAGGCTTCTGCGCGCGTCTCATTTCTCGAAAGAAATATCAGTCTGTCAATTTGAGGCAGCAGGTCATCCTTGAGCTCCTCTATCCCGCCTCGAATTCGCCTTCCTGCCAGCAGCACTGGAGTTGACGCATCCTTGCTGCGGAGGGCCGCTTGGAGGGTGAGGGGGGCGCTGGGGATCCTGTTGGCGTATTGCATGCTCGCTCTGTTCTGAGTCAGATCCACTTGGGTGGGCTCGAAGCCTTGGCGGTGCTGGGGAACAGCGGAACGTTCGGATCAGCAACAGGGGCACTGTGCAACATTTGATACTGGTTCTGTTGGTTTGACGCAGTGGATTCTCCTCAGGTTATAGTTTCACGCCGTGGTCCCTGCTAACCACTATTGATCCACAAGTTTAAACTGAAAACCTTCTCATTTCTGCAGCCATCCATACGAGTAGCCAGGTTGTCCGCTATTTTGATGCAGTACATATTTCTGATATCTACATTGTATGCTGCCAACAGCAGTCTGCTGGTCATTGGAATAGTTTACGTGGTTGACATGATGGAGAACGCAGTGTGGGTGCGCTGATCACCCTTAGCAGATCTGTTTGACTACAGTACTGATGGCCACAACGTGGAGCTATTCTCAAATCCCATTCCACATTTCTGGCACAGGAAAGAAACTCCAAAGATAATGGGAATCTCGGCAAGTGTCCCTTCTGGCAGTGTTACTTCATGCTCGGTGGAAGTGCAGGATCGCTGCCGACTTTTAGTGGCCCTGAATGCATCAGCATATTGTTATGAGCAACGTTACTGTTCATTCTCACGAAACTTCATTCCAAAGATTTCGTTTTCCTTCATACCTCAAATGAAACAAGCGTGCCCGTTGCCAAGCACAAAAAGTGTTTTTGACCTCGTGCCCTTTAAGAATATCCAGCGAGAGCGAATTGGCTCTGTGCCATTTTAGTAAATCAGGGAACCCCAAACCTGCTTTTGCCAAATTGAACCACGGGCACATATGTCTCTGACAAATCTTCGCATTGTCATTTCTCAGCATTGAGTGCCGTTTTCTCAGCAATTGGGAGTGTGATATTCAAGACTGGGGTAACCGCGTGCCCAGAAATCAACAGAGGCTCTGTGTACGCAGTTGCAGCTGGCAGGAATAGCAACCAATAGAATCTTCCTATTGTATGCATTCGGGATGATAAACATAGGCATTCGAACCAATGGCAATTTGCTGGACGTTGGTGATTCTCAGTAGGACGCTTGGACTTTCGACCGCAAGCTATACGATGCTTGCTAAACCGCCTGTGTCAAAGTAGGGAAGACAACCCCGGCAGGGACACTTGTGTCGCCTGGTGACTATTTGGTGCTAACCTGCAGCTAAGGACACCCACCCGGCCCAATTCAGCATGGGGTATCTGTACTCCTCTACTGAGTCGTCAATTTGCAAATCCATAAAGCTGGCGTAGAACAGGCGCAGCTGGTGTGTCGCTAACAGTCAGAACAGTGACCTCTCATCCCTGAGCGGGCTAAAATCCGCGCCGCAACAGCCATGACACACTCTGTGTACTGCGGTTCACCTCGCTCAGCTCCTCTTCGCTCAGCCATTCGACCCACTCGTTGAGATGGGCCACCGCATCGCTGTGGACAGCCCCATCCACCTTGACCCGCGCCTCATGAGGCGCGGAATGGACGTGGAAGGCGCGACCCGCTGAAGACGGTGCTCGCAGCGCCCTGTCTTCAACGCACCCGCTGCCGACGCCTGGATCGATCCTCGACGGACCCACGGCCGCGTAGTTCACGTGGCCCGCCGTGTGCTTGCCGTACAGGTCAGGAATCGGGTACTTGCACCTGTTTTCTTGGGTGACAAAGTGCCTCCCGCCCGGCAAGGCGTGTCTGTTCCCTTGCCAGAACATGTTCACATCCTTGACGAAGCGAGGTCCGCTTTCCGCGCAGGGCTCTCCAATGAAGTCTCCCCTCTCCCTGGAGCCAGCCTTCCTGCACGGCATGCGTGTGCACCGCCTCGGGGCCGTCTTGGCCTGCCTACCGCGCGAGCAGGCGTTGTCCCAGGACGGCCTGTAGCTGGGGTCGAGGTCATGGTGAGCCTTTCTCTTCCTCTGACGATCCGGGCCCACCAGATTCAGCGTCTTCATGTACTCCTTGAGGATGGACGCGCTGCCTCCGATGTCTTCGTCCGGGTGCTCCCGACGCCGCAGGGTGGCGTTCCAGTGGTTCTTGACCGCGTTCTCGGTCCTGCCGGGCATGTGCTTTGCGATGTCGGCCCATCGGTTGCCCAGCTGCCTGTGTATCTCTATCAGGCTGCGCTCCTCCTCGGGCGTCCAGGCATCCCGGTTGATGTCGGGCCTCAGGTGGTTGTTCCACCTCTCTCGGCACTGCTTCCCGATCCTCCCGTGGTTCTCGTCCTTCCCGAAGGCCCCGTTCAGCGACCGTGCAATGACGCTCCAGTTGCCCTCCCCGTGCTCATGGACCAGCCTGCCACAACAGCAGCCCCAAACACACAGCCGCCTCATTCCCAGGGCCGGCCGCAACTACCACCATACGTCCGCACCAATTTGGAATGCTCATTCAGTCGATGGCGACTCGCAACTTCCGTCCCGTCGTGCCATCGTTTCGTCGCGTCTGGACGTTGCCCATCAGCGGGGTCGCGAGGCTGGCGGGGCTGACCTGATTAGCAGCGCGTCCTCCTCGGGGCTCCAGCCGCCCTTGACCTTCGCCACGGGGTGGCGCCGTTTCTTCATGCGCCGCCCCGCCCCCCTTGTGCCGTCCTGACCCTCCGTCTGCCACAGGCGAACGCCGCGAACGGCCTGCGACGAACCAGCGGGCAGCCCCGTGACGCCGCGTTGACTGCCTCCCTCAGGGGCGCCGCCGGGGCGGTGGGCGTTGTGCGGCGCATGCCCGGGACCGATGCCGCCGTTTCGCAGCGAGCGGTGGCCGAGCGTTCGTCCAACAAGCGGGAAGGTCGCTATTGGGGGCTGGGGGGGAGCCCGCCGGCCCAAGGGGGATATCAGACGAATGTTATGCCGCGTCGATGGGCGCGCGGCCAACCGCCAGGCGGCCAAGGGGACGGCGGACGTTGACTGTGGGGCGGCGAACTGGGTGTGGCGACGGCGTTGCGCCGGACTCACCTCGAGCTGGCTGGTGCCTGGGGCGCTTTGCGCCGGACGCGAGGACAGGCACCTGCGGGGGAAGGGACGTCAGCGGGGACGGGGAAGGGGACGCCTTTGGCACCGCTGGGCGGGATCGCCCCATGCCGCGCCGCCTGCCTTCCGGGGGGAGGCACCCATGAGGGCGGAACTTGCCTTGGGTGCGCAGAAACGCCAGCACTCTCGGAGCCCGTCACAATGGGGCGCCTGCTCCCCGCGGCCGAAAACGCCCGCGTCGGTGGAGGCTCAGCGAAACGTCCGGACGTCACAAGGGGTCAACTGCCGTGCGCCGAGTCTGTAACCGCCTCCGGGCAGCTGCCAGGTAGAATTGTATGTGAATGAGCTAGGCGGTCGAGACAGTGGAAGCTTAGCGTGAATAAAACCCCGGCGCATGGCCTCCCTCAGCGCCCAATTCTGGTGGAACCTACTGCCGCTCCCTGATCATTGCCACAGACTGGACCGGCGGGGGTGGGGTGGGGGGGAGAGCGTTTTGGAAAAGTACCGCCCTGCAGCCCGACTTGATGTGCGGTTTCAGCTCCATTTCCCATGAGTAAATATAGGCGGACCAGTGAAATTGAGATACTAAGCTCAGGCAGTTTTCCCGCTCGGGCCACGAGTCAGGTGGAGAGCTCCAGCCGGCCGTAGCACAACAAATTCGGTGTGACTAGGCAGCAGATGGATGGGAACGGCTGTCGGCAGGGCAGAATTCCGGAGTGTTTGCGGTCGGACTGTGTTCTCGGGGTGGCGCCACGCACCTAATTGTACCCCTGTTTGGGTCACAGCACTGGCGCATGTCCTGCTGCTTGGTGTTTACCGTAAGCATCCAATACGCTCTGGTCCGAATTGGGTGAATGGAAGGCTGCGGCAGAATCGCCAGCGGTGACGGAAGGGGAAACGCCAAAAAGAACCGTGGCGAGCAGCAGGCCAAGTTCCGGGCGCTTTGGCGGGTTCAGAGACAAATACCAATTTCCTGACAATTGCAGAGCCCTCGCTGCCACAGGAACTCCACTCGCAGACAAGGCGCATCTGACACACGCCTGAACTTTCAGAGGAATTCTTGGCAACAGTTGGCTTAAGATTTGTGATAAATGACAGCCGTGTAGGTCTGAACACATCATGGAGGAGACTTGGCTCGAGCTTTGCGAACATTGCGAATCGCAAAAGTCGAGTTTTTCTGTCCTTGCGGTGAACTTTTCATTCTCGAGGCTGCGATTGCAGGTATTTCTATCGGTCGTTGAAGTGCTGTAATTATATAATATTATAATTTCACTTTGCCTCACTTTGCCACCTTAGGGTACTCTCCAAGTGTTTCGACACATGCTTTGCCGGACATGGATGCTCAACAGAGCGTAGCCCTGATTGTGAACAACGGTCTGCTCGAGGACTCCTACGCAGATTGTCCAAAATCGACCTGGTTTTAAATCGATGCGTGCTACCGTGTTCTGCACAAAATACACTTAACAGAATTTCAAGGTTGCAGCTGTATGTTACGCCATCATGATTGAGTTGTCCACACCAGAAAAGCCGCTTCTTGTAACGCGCAATTCGTGTTGTACCAGCATCTGCCAATGGCGGTTTATGAAAACAGAAAAACTTGATAAACAAACGAAGTATGCGCTATAGTAAGCTCTCTGCGACCTCAAAATTCCTTCCCATTCGTTCCGTCTGTATGGCTTTCGGTCTCTTACTACACATTCAAGAACGCTGAGGCAGTGCAGTCGACATACTGTATCAAGCAAAAGCGCCATGGCTAATGACAACTCAGGAAACTTCCAGTTTGTCTAAGGCAAGTTCGGCTCAGATCCTGCACGCGCACTCTGGGATTGCTTGTTTAATGTGGAATTTTCTCCACATTTGTATTATGCGTAGCTCTAGGGAAATTCAAAAGTGGGTAGTTATACCCGCGATAAAAAGCTTTCTGACCTAGGATGACCAAATGCACCAACATGCACAATAATGGCTGCGCCTCATTTAGGATGCAGTCTCCTGCGAGTCAACTGAGAGCTGCGGCTACCATGCTGGTCTCCAGCTGAACCACATGCAGGAGGTGGAAACTCGATGCCCTGATGTTCTTGAGCAGGTCGAAGATTGGCAGACTTTTTGATGTCACAACCGCCATTGCGGAGGCAGTGTGCGTGCGAGGACGGCATGGTTTGTATGGACACCGACAATGACGGATTGATTTCCGATGACATTTGCAATATAAACCGATGTAAACTAATGCAATTTATGTATTGAGCCCCTTTAAACCATCAAAATACAAATGGTTTACTGTATCCATATCTGTATACTGAAATGCTGATATGCCCGCACATAGTAGCACTGACTTTGGGAACAAAACCCCTTTTGGAATCAGATGTGCATGCAATCACCCTGCACATGCATGGTCAACATTCTCCCATGGAAAGTGATCCTCAAGAAGTTTAGGGCGATGATCTGGCCCCTAATTGTGGTATTGATATGTCAATTTTGAGCAATGCCATGCATTAGCACTTCGTGGCAAAATAGAAGGAGCTCATACTATTCAGCTACTTTCCAAATGCAAATCACCAATAGTACCTCAATGCTAAAATAGAATTTCCTTCTGGCCTTATCTCAAAGGCAGGATGTGATGCGGGTCCTAGCGAGGACCATGTAGGGGCTGCATGCGAGAGAGCGTGAAACCCAACGAGAGACAATACAAAGTGTGCTCCGCACACACTTAACTTGTAAATCAATGTACAATTATGTATAATGAAATATATAATGTACAAATGTTAATGTACAATCGTTTTAATGTACTACCGGCCAATGTAAGTGGTGCCACCGGCATCAGGATGCCTCCTACCATTTGAACCAAATTTTGTAAAAAGTGAACACCTTCATTGAGGATTGTCAAGCATAGGTCACATGCACATGGAGAATGGCATATTGGTAATAAACAATTGTCCATCTGGCCATTCGCGATTTGCCCTTACTACTAGCTCACTAGAATGCAAGCAGACATTGCATCCAACCATAAATCGCTGCAATTTTTCAGTCACATGCTATGGAGGCTATCTGTGAATGCGAGGTGTATTGCCACATTGCATTGTGTGATGATTTGTTCGTGTGTTGCTAGTTGGGATGTTGGGCAAACAGCAACCGTAATACATCCATATGCCTTTGCCATTTCCAATACAATCAGGGAATAGTAGATAGGAAGTGGCCTCTCCCATGATGTATAGGGAGTTTGTGCATTGCTTCTCCACAACTGCGCACTTTCCAAAAAGTGCAAAAAGACTTGTGGGTGCAGAGAAGGAATGCACGAAGTCTACATGGAGGACAACGATATGCAATATGCTTTTCCAGTGTGGTGCCATGACCTACTATGATCCGGGACATTATAGTAGTTGGAATTGGTAGGCATCCCTATTAGTCGCCTTCGACAAGTGACCAGCTATTGGGCTATTGCAATGAGTGACTACGATCGAGTCTTGTCAGTTAGGTTTGCATCTACAAAATCTGGCAATTCACAACCTTCTACTAGATATGGTTTGATTTACACTATGGGCCCGCTTGTTGTTGAGCAGTATATTTAGGATTGCGTCAACTTAATGGAAGTTTCCTTTATCCTTGATAATTATGTATTCCAATCATTTTGCTTCTTGTTGTGTGGCGCCTCCAAAAATCCCCATTTCCAAGCTGCACATGAATGCAAGTAAATGGTTGGTTTGTTGTTGAACATTGCCTGACGCCCTCTATTGTTGAACATTGCCTGACGCTCTTAGTCATTCAAACATATATAGTGTTTGGTAGAGAGAGGCCATTGGCATACTTCAAAATCTCACAGAAATAGCGGATGCAACTGGTGCACTTATTGCGGCCCCATCAGCAGCCGCTGGTCTCCAGAGGTGTTGGGGTCGCCCTGCCCTGCAACACGGCCGTTGGAAGTTGGCCGGCCTCTCCACCTTAGACGGTGGGCGTAATTAGGGCAGTATATTATGTTGTTGCGCGGTGGGCCCAATGCTCGATGGGGATCGATCCCCAGTAGACGTGGCCGCTCAGCTTTTTTCTGTTATTTTACTTTTGTAACATTTTTGAACACAAACAATCCGTCCGTCGATTTTCCATCACTTTGCCGGGGCCGGGTTTCGGTAGCTGTTCATGCCACATCAGCTTTCAATTTTTTGGCTCTGGAGCTGTCTGTCAAGGGGGTGTTTGCAGCCAGCGGTTTCTGTAAAAGCGCTTTTTTTTCCGCTGCCTTTCCTGGCATTCCATTGCCATCCGTTAGGGACTTTGAAATTCTGGTAGTGTTCCATTGGTCAGCGGCGGCGTCTGTTGGAGGCAATTTTTGCCAAGCGGATTTTT